ATTGGAAAACACTCCCTTTTCCTCTTCTCACAAAACCTGCCCAGATGCTTTAAGAAACTTACATTTTCAACCACAGCTGCTTCCTACTTACTGACTCTGGGAAGTCAGGACCACCTACAGTTTAAAAAACCTGAAGAATTTAAGGCTTTCTAAAAAGAATAGACTATTAAATTGTTTAAACCAGTATCAGGTACTTTTTTCCCAAAGGTCTGCGTCCTGGACAGAAAAAAAGCCACACATTTAGAATCCGAAGGATGGTTCAGCTTTCTTTCAACAGCTCACTTATCATTTTAACAAAGCAGTTCTTCAAGCTCCCAGAAAGTTCTTTTCAACTTGTGCTTATTTTCAGCATAGGTGAACTTTGTATCTCGTTACTCTGACTCTGGAAACAGAGTATGCACGTTAAAAAAACCGAACAGGAAGGAAAAACCAACCCTGCAGCTCGATTTGTTACCAGGGTCTGAATCCTATGAAAGTGAAACCGAGTAGAAAGAGGGGTCAAACGGATGCTGTACTGTCAGGATTCCCGGTTCATTAATTTTTAAGGGCAGATTAAGATCCAAACGCGCAGATTTTGCCCCTAACGGAGCGGTACGGGGGAAGGGAGGGGCCGAAGCGCGGGGGCCCCGGGGCTTTGTTCGGGCCGGGCCGCTCGGCCCGCAGTGCCGGCGGGGGGCGCGCGGGGGCGCCGCGGGGCCGCGCGTGACCGGCACCGGCACCGCCAGCGCGGGCCTGCGCGCCCCCGGCCCCGCGCGCTCCCGCCTCGCGCCCCCCAAACCACCCCCTCAGCCTCCCCTCTCCCCCCCGTGGCGGGGCCGCCGCCGAGCCCACAGGGGGGTCCCCGCACGGTAGGGCAGGGCAGGGCAGGGCAGGGCGCGGCGCCGCTCCGCTCCTACCTGCGGGCCCGCGGCAGCGCAGCGCGGCGGCGGCGCGGGAGGGACTGCCGGGCGGACAGACGGACGGACGGCGGGGCTGAGGGAGGGAGGGACGGGAGGGACTGAGGCGGCTGCGCGAGCCCCGCGCGCGCCTCGCCGCGCTCGCGAGAGCACGCCCGCCCCGCTGCCCGCTGCTCGCTCACGTGCCCGGCGGCGGCCGCCCCGCTGTGTCCGGTAGCGCCGCTGTGCCCCCGGTGCCGTGCCCCGTGCCGTGCCCGCTCCGTGCCCGCGCCGCTCCCGCCGCTCGCCGGGGCCGCCCCGCCCGCCCTGAGGGGTGTGGGGATGGGGGGGTGCAGCCGCCGCCGCGGGTCTCGCGAGAGGTGGGGTAGGGGGGCCGCTCACCCTGCTCTCGCGAGAGCGCGGCCGCGCCGCGCGCCACCAGCCCGCCGCCCGCGCGCCGCTCATTGTCCGCGCTCCCGCGGGGCACCATGGGAAAGGCGCGGGGGGCGGAGCGGGGCGGTGGCCACGCCCCTTCCCCGGCGGGCGGGAGGCGGGGGGACATGGGTTCGAGTCTGCCCTCAGCCCCGGCCCGCGGAGGGGCATCGCCGCCGGCGATTTCCCGGGATATCCAGAGTACCCAGGACATCCACAGTATCCTCTGATCCCCGAAGCACCGTTCCCTGTGTCCCATGGCACACCTGGTCCCTCAGCGGCCGGTCCGGCCCCGCGCACCCAGCGCAGCCGAGGCGCGCTCCCCTCAGCACAGCGCTGGCGGCACCATCGCTCAAACAGTTAACATTAGGGGCTCTCGCTGACTCTCTGGTTCGTTAGAAGATTCTGGTAAAAAACCGCCGCAGCCAGCGTGCGAGGCTTTGCTGTTCCTCCGATCCAACATTGCCACCTGGTGCTGGCCGAGGAGAGGTCCCCTTGCCTCTGCCCTCACGAAATCGGTGCTTCATCACCAAAGCACTCGTTCAACTGGGCAATTATTTATTATTTGGAGTCCTTTCATAGTGAATATCTATTTAATTTTGCAGCTAAAGAACCAGCCTCTCCATCATCGCTGTACAAAGCGGAGGGTATGCGTGTGAATTCAGGGAAATCTCCAGGGGAAAGGAAAAAATCTGCCTTTTTAATTCATCACAGGCTGGTTTTTCTTCTCTCCGTGTGGCTGCAGAGCACAATGAAACAGTAACACAGCAGGTATTTTTAAAAAATGAGTTTGGTACAAAATACGTGTTGAAATAATATAACAATACTCAGAGAACAATCACAAGAAATTCAGCTCTTAACAAGTTCAGGATAAAAAACAATTAAGTGTTTAAAAACAAGCACGTAAATCTCTGTTAACAATCCTCCTGTGCAGAGCAGTAAAAGCAGAGCAAAGGTAAAGCAATCCAGCCACTTTTGCCCAGCAGAAGTCACATACAGGTTGCAAAAAGCACAGTGCTAATAAACAAAACCATATATCAGGTTGGCATTTCCAATGTGCAAAGTGTGGGTACTCCTCCATTTCCTGGCTTTATTTCAACGCCAGTCTTGGACTACATGGATTTTCTCCCAATTATCTTTGTTGTCCTTCGGTCAAGGCACCAAAGCCAGAGAGAGGTGAATCATTTTGACCTTTGTTGATTGTCTTTCTGCTGCAGAAGGAGCTGCACAGTGCTGACCGTCATCTTCTTGCTAATGGGAGGGGCTGCAGGGGCACCCTGAGCTCCACATCCCAGAGCCTGGGCTTGTGCTGACCACTGGAGAAGCTTTATGACATCCCCGTGTTTTTTACTTTCCAGTTGTGCACAAAGCCTGGACATGACCCAGCCCAGAACCCCCCATGCCCTGGGCTGATCCCCCAGCGTGGGCAGCAGGGCAGGGGGGATTCTGCCCCTCTGCCCCTCAGGGGAGACCCCCCTGCAGAGCTGCTCCAGCCCTGGGAACAGCACAGCAAGGACATGGAGCTGCTGCAGAGAGTCCAGAGGAGGCCCCAAGATGGGCAGAGGCTGGAGCAGCTCTGCTGGGAGGAA